GCAGCCGCTTGCCGCCCCCAGCGGCAGCAGCGCCGTCGTCGACGTCGGCGTCGCGTCGCGTCGACGTCGTCGGAGTCGTCGTCATCGTCGTCGTCGTCGTCGTCGAGGTCGTCGTCGCCGAGGTCCTCGGCGTCGACGGCGACCCGGCGGCGACGCGGCGACGACGTCGACGTCGACGTCGACGTCGACTCGACGCCAACCGCGACCATGACCGCCAGATTTCCTGACCGCCCCTGCCCCCGTTCGGTTGAATTCAGCGTTCGCGGCAGTCAGCCGGGGGGTCTCGAGGTCACGTCTGCAGATGGGGCTGCAGAGGCACTGCAGAGGGAGCCCGTGGAGGAACCGAGGAAATTTGACCAGGGTCGTCGCAGCCTCAGCTGCCCGGTCCCCTTCCTGCGCCTGCTCCCTCGGGCCCGTGCTTATCCTTAATGTTCCTGCTATTGCGCTTCCTCATCGCCCTGGATTCCTGCTTCCGCCCCGCATTTCTGATCGAGTCCACTCGCCATCATCGCCGTCGCCATCGCCGCCATCATATCAGCACCACCACCATCATCATCATTGTCAGCATCATCATCATTAGCATCATCATCATCATCATCATCACCATCACCAGCATCATCATCATCATCATCATCATCATCATCATCATCGCCAACATCCCCCACTAGTGGTTCATGGAGGCAGGGAGGAAAACGGACACTTAAGGACACGGGCAAATCATCATCGTCATCATCATCATTATCATCATCATCATCATCCATCATCTATCACCCATCACCCATCACCCATCATCATCCCTCGTCTTCTTCGCCATCACCTTCATCATCATCGCTCATCGCCGCCACCGCGTGACCATCAAACATGATCAGCATAATCATCATCATCATCATCATCATCATCATCATCATCGTCGCAAACGCCACCATCGCATAATCACATCATTATCTTTGCCGATGCTTTCCCCTTTTCTCTCCCCCCTCCCATCCACCTTCTCCTGCGTGCCTCCACATTCCCCCGAGGCCGAGCGACTCGCCCTGGGCCGGGCGGGTTGCGGTTGCGGGCAACGCAGTAGTCGCAGCAGGCGCACGTTCCTCTCGTCCGCACCTCCTCCGTTCCTCCTCCTCATCGTCTTCCTGTCTTCCTCCTCCCCTTTCCTTCACCCCCTCCTTCTCCGTCTCCGTCTCCCTCCTCCCCCCCCGTCTACGGCGCGGAGATAATCGCGCTTCGGCGCTTCGTGCGTCGATGCCCAAGCAGGGGCGATGTGCGTTTCCCCGCTGCGGCGCGAAGATAACCCGCTACGTGCATCTCGGAACGCGATGCTGCGAGTTAGGAGACCTAAATAACTACTACGCTTCGTTTCGGACCGAAACCAGTTTCGGAACATCTCATTTTCTTCCCTGCCCCCGCCGTCTCTGCTGTTCGTGGCCAAGTCCGGCCTCTCCGCGAGGCGCCCTTCTCCGACCGCCTTCCCTTCGCAAGAATTCAGGTCGGCCGCCGCGCCATGGCTGCCGCGGCTGCGACTGGCTCTTCGGATACGATCGGTGCGGGGCCCGCGCACGACTACGACGCGTCCGGGTCTGGAGGTTTTGGGCATGGGCACCCTTCGCCTTCGGATGCTTCCTCGGTGCACTCTGGTCTTCCCGCGTCGGGGACCAACGCGCACGACCTCCTGTTCGGGCCCAAGGATCTAGGCTGCCCAAATGGGGTCAGGGTAGACGGGGTCAGAGGATCGCGCTGCATCCCCGGTGGTTTGGCGACGCGACTCGATGCGGATCGATGTCTCGCCGACGTCGCCGATGCATATGCGATGCGTCGCCGATTCAGCGCGATCCTCAGACCCCATCCACTCGGACATCCATAGGGGTGCCTCTTTCAAAGGAGTCAGTCGACGAGCGCTTCCCGGACGTGGACGGCCAGGAGCGCTACGAGATCATCGAGAGGTCCTACGGCATTGCTGACCCGTCTCCCGTCATGGCGTGGGGCCCCGACAACGAGGAGCTGCTGGTGAGACACAGCGGCGTCAACGCCCGCAAGGTCTCCGCCGCTTGCATGGTGTATGCGAAGAACATTCTGAAGTGTGGCGTGATGACCAAGTTCAGGGGTGTGATGATGGGGGTGCAGTGCGTGCAGAAGGCCAGTTCACCCGACGGGCTCACGTCGGACGAGGTCACATACTGGCGCATGATATCTGGCGCCACGCTCGCAGAGGCGCTGTACGTGGCCGCCAAGATGGAGCCCGACAATAAGCACGTGCTGGCCATTCGGAAGAAGGGCGTCTCCATCAAGAAATGGCGCTTCGACACGCCTGTCGACGTCTTGCGGTGGCTCAAGGACCGTTGGTTGTAACAGTTGCCGTGGACGACGCGAGTCGTCGCCTCGGAGCCTCCTACCTCCTCCTCTTCCACCTCCTCCTCCAGCTGATGCTGCGGCTGCTGCTCCTCCTCCTCCTCCTCTCCTCGTCCTCCTCCTCATCCTCGGCCCCATTCTCATCCCTCTTCCTTCCTTCCTCCTCCTCCTCCCCCTCCTCTTTCTTCCTCCACCTCGTCCTCCCCGCATCCCCCCTCCCTCCCTCCTGCCTCCTCCTCCCCCTCCTCCTCCTCCTCCTCCCCCAGGGGCCAGCCGCCCCCCACCCCCCGGGCCCCGCCCCCCAATCCGCAGGCGGCGGCGGAGGGCGAGGAGGAGGAGGAGGAGCTGAGGAGGGGCGGGAGAAGGAGTCGGAGGAGGAGTCGGAGGAGGAGGAGGAGGAGGACTCAAGAGGACCGAGGAGGCGGAGGCGGGGGAAGGGGGGGGGGTGGCAAGCCCCCGCTTTCGCTTTCCCAGGGGGAGGGGAACAACTGGCACGGTGGCGTGTCGACCACGTTCTTGGAATTGCCCCCCGCTGCTTCGTTTGCCCGACGGAACGTCAGGAGTCTGGAGTTTTTGAGTCTGACCGTCGCAAGAACTACCTCTCGACATCGGAGAGGCCTCAGGCCTCAGGGCGGCCAATGTTTCGATCGGTGTGTTGGTCCAGGTCGTTGTCTGTTGTCTGTCGGTTCCGTTCGGTTTACCCTGGGGCCTGAAGTCAGGTTGGCGGCCATCTCTGACATCGAGGCCGGCTGGCTTGCGCACAGGAGGTCAAAGGGCATCGAGTACGGTACTTGTCCGAAGGCGGGGCCCATGAGCTGGGCCAGCCAGATGTCGGCGTATACCATGAAGAACTTCGGGGACGTGTTCAAGCAGTCCAAGAACCTGGTGACCGTGACGAAATCCGTGGTCACTGCGCTCACCAGGACTCCCACCGTCAAACTAATCTTGCCACGTCGGTCATGTTTTGTTGGCTGCTGTTCTGGCGTGCGTGTGCGCGAGCGCGCGCGTGTGTTTGTGTGTGTGTGTGTGTGTGTGTGTGTGTGTGTGTGTGTGTGTGTGTGTGTGTGTGTGTGTGTGTGTGTTTGTGCGTGTGCGCGTGCGTGTGTGCGCGCGCGCGTGCAGGCGTGCGCGTGTGTCTGCGTGTGTGGAGTCGCGTGAAACTGTGAAAGCGCTCGACTTCGGCGTGTTGCCACGAGTCGTCCATGCCGCCCATGCCCATAGATGGGGCGGACGGAATGGGCTATGGGCCATGGGCGCGCGCTGTCGGATGGGGGCCCGAAGTCGGACGGTGCCTCCCACAGGGTCCGACAACCCGCGCCCATGCCCAGATCAGGCCCCCTCCCTCCGACCTCCCTATGGGAATGGGTTGTGCGTGTTACGTGAACAAAGCCGCAGGATGCACATGTTGTCCGACTTCACCGCTCTGTGCGGCTCGGCGACGGGCGTGGATTGGCTTAGGCCAGAGCTGAACAACACCACCGTCATACACGTGCTGAACAGTCTGCTCTCAGATCTGGAGGAGCACTTCAGTGACGCACTGGATGAGGAAACGCTGAGAATGGTATGCTTCGAGCTCTTGAAGTTCGCCCTCCCCTGGGCTGTGGCCGACGGCGTGGACAGCGAGCAAGTCTGCTGTTCGTGGGTGTTCACTACCACCGCCATTGCCAGCCAGAAGTTCAAGTGGCTTTGCACTCCCATGGCGGGTTCCACTCTCTACAAGTCCGCGCAGCCGAAAGCCAAATCGAAGCCGAAGAAAGCTGCCGCCGGCACGGGCTCGGAGCCCCCCGCCAAGAAGGCACGCAAGGGCAAGGGCAGGGGCAAGGGCGGGGGCCCGACCGTCCCAGAGGAAACGCTCACATTGACGACCTCGGCCACTCGGCAGAAGTACTGGTTGGATGACGCGGTTGCGTGCGTGATGGCTGTCAAGGATCACCTCGACCCTTCGAACATCAAGCATGCTGTGATCAGGAGGTCCATCTTCCTCGCCCTGCAATTCTGTTTCGAGAAGAAGATCGTCATTGCTGGGGTCACGTACACTGGGTGGAAGTCGGTTCGCAAGCAGTTGCGATCTGACATCGTCCGGGCCCACGCCGGCATGCTCAAGCATATCGCCGATGACGGCGCCCCCGGCGCGTCGGTCGTCGCCGCGACCTCCGCGATTCAGTCCGACGGTCAGATCGACCTGGCCACCAGGGTCTTGGCGAAGCTGGACATGGCCGACGACGCCGACGCCCGGGCCGAGGCCCTCTCCTTGCCCGCGAGCCCGGACGAGCTCTGGCAGAAGGGGATGGTCCGCAACCCGGAGGTCAGCGCGATGCAGGCGATGGCAGAGGACGCTTCTTTTGTCAGGTGGTAGCAGATACAAAATCGTGCTCTTGATCCTTTGCCAGCCTGCCTCCCCCCCCCTCCTGCTCCTCCCCCGCCTCCTCCACCTTCTCCTCCCTCCTCCTGCTCTTCCTCGTCCTCCACCTCCACCTCCTCCTCCTCCCCCTTCTTTCTTCCCCTCCTCCTCCTCAGGCTCCTCCTCCGACTCCTCCTCCTCCTTCCCTCGCCCCCCTTCTGCCCCCGCGCCTCTCCCGCCCGCCCGGCCCTCTCCCCGAAGGCAGCTGGTTGGCTTCTGCGCCAGGAACATCGCGCCCTCGCTGCCGACGGCCATGCAGCCGACGTTCAGGGACCTGTCCATGAACATCACGGGGTCCTTGGCCAAGCAGCAGCAGAAGCTCGTCGCGCTGGCAACGGACAGCGACAAGGTTGAGTTGTTGTGCGATATCATCAGTCAGGACCCTCTCACTGCAAACCCGCATGTGTATACATATATAGATATACATATACATACATCTGCATGTATACCATGCGTGTGTCTTAACAGTTTGACGGCGATGCGTGTATCACTTTTTCGACCCATAATCCTGCATACGTTTATATAGATCACGCCTCATATGCCATGTTATCGTATTACTTCTTCCTTATATATAATATATACATAGATGTATAAATGCGTAGACATCTATAAGCACGCATCGCTAGCCATGTCTTTCTGTCTGTCTATGTATGTAGATGTAGATGTGTGTGTGCGCACATCCCCCTATCTCCTCATACATACACATACCCACATGCGTATACATAGATGTACATACGCATACATACACAACTAGACATTTACATGTTAAACTATGCACACACACATATATATATATACATACGCACACATCTATGTGTGTCTATGTATATATAGATATGCGCATTTATGTGTATATACTTTATTAAACGCAAGTATATATTCACTCCACAGTTGCATTGTCTCTCTGCCTCTCGTTCTCTCTCTCTATCCCTCTACATCTGTGCAAATACGTATCCACGCGCATATGCGCATATTCATGCATGCGTATATATATATATATATATATATATATACATATAGATATACACACACGCACACTAAATGCGCGCCGCCCCCCCCCCCCCTCGTCGGGGGTGAGGGGGGTGATGCACGTGGATTTCGAACTTGTCGTTGCGTGTGCCCCTTTGAGGAGCTCTTCGGCTTAGTCCCGCAGCGGTGGATGGAGTTCACGGCCTACGTGCGCAAGATGATCGTGGACCACAGCTTGGGCGCCAGCGAGAACCGGTTGAGGCTCATCTCGTTCGGCGTCTTCAACTGCGCGGACAGCGTGGCGAAGTTCTGGAGAGCTCGCGCCCTGTACTTCAGGGAGGCGGTGGCGTGTCTCGTCGGCGGGCCCGAACGGATGACCTCCACGGACTACTCGCACGTGACCCTCTGGCTCTACAGCGCCCAGGCGGAGGTCGCCGAGGTCCTCGAGTGCGGCGGCCCAGCTGCGGCTGTCTACGCGAAGCGCATGTCGCAGATCATCCTGGCCGGCGTGGTGGACGGGCTTAGCCTCGATGCTCCGGCCATGTCCTCGAAGCTGAAGTCCGCGATGCAGGCGCTGGAGCAGCAGCGGGCCGATGCTGCCGAGATGCTTCAGCTGATGGCTGCGCACTGCCCCAGGGAGGACTCGTTTCTCAAGCCGCTGCCCGAGATTCGCGCGATGTGGAACGCTATGGCGGCCGAGCCGGGCGACGAGGCGACGGGTGGAGCTGCGGTGGGAGTGGCGTCGACCAGCGAGGAGGAGACGGTGCCAGCGATGGCCATGCACTCCTTGGCGCTCCACCTCGAGCAGAAGCTATACGACTGGGCGTTCCAGGGGGAGCACGCGTCGACCCTCGCCCCGGACGCGCACGCCGACACCTTGATGGGGGACGCTTTCGACCCTGCGGCTGCCATCTACTGGACGAAGACGGAGTTATGCGTGGCGCCGGAGAAGGACCTGGTGTTCAACATGATTGGGGAGGTCTTTATGCTGTAGTAAATATGTTACATGGTGACATATATTATCTATCTCTCTTCCTCCCCCTCCGCCCCTGCCATCCCCCCCTCTCTCATTCCCATCCTTCCGCTTCCTCCACCTCCTCCTTGCATGCGTGCATGCATGCATCTATGCATGCATGCATGCATGCATGTATGTATGTATGTATCCATGCGTGTATGTGCTGTATGTGTGCATGTACATATGTGTGGGTGTGACGTGTGTGAATGTGTGTTACACTGCGTTACACACCTCTCCCGTCCCCCCCCTCGCTCTCCCCCTGCCCCTCCCTCCTTCTCCTTCCTGTGCCGCTGCCTTTTACTCCAGCGCCCCCCCTCCTGCTGCCGCTGCTGCCCACCCCGCCATCCTCCACCCCCCGGCGGGGCGGCGGCGGGGCGGCCATCCTGCGGCCCGTCCGTCGGCCAGCGGCGCCGCCGCCGCCATTGGGCCGAGCGCCTCGGCGTTCCCGCGTTCTCTCTCCTCCTTTCCCTCTTCCACCTTCCTCGTTCCTTCCTGCCCCCCCTCTCTCCATCCTTCTTGCCCTGCCCTCTCAGACCTTCCCCCCCCCCCCCGCGCCTCTTTCCTCCTGGCATTCGACTTTCTTTCCCTCGACCCCCCCCACCCCCCCCCGCCCCTTCTCTTCTCTTCGCTTGGTCCCCTCCCGAGGCCCTCCCTCTCCCCTCCTCTCTCGCCCCTCTCTCTCTCTCTCTCTCTCTCTCTCTCTCTCTCTCTCTCCTCTCTCTCTCTCTCTCGTCTCTCTCTCTCTCTTCTCTCTCTCTCTCTCTCTCTCTCTCTCTCTCTCTCTCTCTCTCTCTCTCTCTCTCTCTCTCTCTCTCTCTCTCTCTCTCTCTCTCTCTCTCCTCTCTCTCTCTCTCTCTCTCTCTCTCTCTCTCTCTCTCTCTCTCTCCTTCTCTCTCTCTCTCTCTCTCTCTCTCTCTCTCTCTCTCTCTCTCTCTCTCTCTCTCTCTCTCTCTCTCTCTCTCTCTCTCTCTCTCTCTCTCTCTCTCTCTCTCTCTCCTGCCATTCGCCTCCTCGCCCGCGCCTCGCAGGTCTCGCGTGTCCCCGCGGTTGGCGGCTACAAGATGTGCACGGTGAGTAATGTCGACTTGTTCGTGAACCCGTCCGGGAAGGATTTCACGGTTCCGGAGTTCGTTCCAGCTTGGCTACTGCCGCTGGACACGGACGACCTGCGCAAGGCAGAGACAGGCGACGATGGGAACGTTGCTCGCATTATTACGCTCGAGGCCGTCCAGAAGGATATACCCTTCTCGTACTCCTACACGTACTTCGCGGCTCGCAAGACCATCAAGACGACGCTCACAGTGTGGCAGCTCAAGATGCCCGAGAGTGACGCGTTCACCAAGGAGATCGCTGCCGCCCCCACCAACACTCGGTTCAGGGTCGCCAGGGGCGAGATCAAGAACGCCGTGAAGACGGCCCCGAAGCTCAAGAAGGCCGCCCGGGGCAAGGGCCGGGGCAAGGGCGCCGCCGACAGCGAGCATCAGCCGCAGCAGAACGTGCCCGCCGAGCAGCGGCACTTGCTCAGGTAGGTGGCGCGCTGCTGGGTCAGCTTTCGGTAGGAGGCGGCGTGCCGGGCCAGCAGAGGAGGAGGAGGAGGGGGAGGAGGAGAAGGAGGACGGCGAGGAGGGAGCGAAGGGAGAGGAGACGGTCGGAGACGGTGGTGGAAGGAGGAGGAGGAGGAGGAGTGGGAGGAGGAGGCCTGCTTAGCTCCTCCTCTTCCTCCACCACGTCCTACTCTCCTCTCTCCACTCCTGTCCTCCTCCTCCTCCTCCTCCTCCTCCTCCTCCTCCTCCTCCTCCTCCTTCCCTCCTCCCCCCTCGGGGACTCCTCCTCCTCCTCCTCCTCCTCCTGTTCCTCCTCCTCCTCCTGTTCCTCCTCCTCCTCACTCCCCCTCCTTTTCCTCATCCTCCTTCCTTCTCCTCCCTCCCAGCTCTCCTCGCCCTCGTCCTCAGTCCTCCCTTCCCTTTTTCTTCCTCTCTTCCATTCGCGATCTTCCTCGCGTGTCTGTGCACAGTGAATGCGTCACTCGCCCGACCCGAGCGCCACCTGGGCGCTCGCGTTCGGTCGACGGGCGCGCGGAGCGCCATCTTGCGCTGCTCCCGACTCCGGGCCATGTCAGTCCTTTCTCTTTCCCCTGAGCCTCACTCACTCCCCCCATCTCACCTTCTCCTGATCCCCCTCATAGGGCCCCTCATCTGCCACAACCGCCGCGGCCCATGCCGTTTCTCGCCCTCTACTCTGCTCGCCGCGGGGTTGGCGAGCAGAGTAGCAGCCCAGCAGGCCGAACCCATGGAAGGGCAGGAGACGAGAATGAGTGGGGTTAGGGGCCATCGTCGTCGCCGACGGCGACTCGCCGTCGCCCCCCTCCCGATCGGCCTGCTGGGCGGGCGCTGCCCGGGCCCTTGGGCGCGGGCCCGCTGCCGCTCGCGCAGCCGCGCCGCCGCGCGGCTGCTTGGCTGAAAAAGGGTGCGCCAAGCACAATGCATCACTCCTCCCGTCTCCTTCCTCCCTCCTCCCTCCCCTCTTTTCCCGCCTCCTCCTTCCTCCCGCCTTCCACTTCTCTCCTCCTCATCTCCCCCTCTCCTCCTCCTTCTCCTCCTCCTCCTCCTCCTCCTCAACTCCTCCTCCGCCTCCTCCCCCTCCTCCTTTCCCGTCCTCTTTGTCTCCTCGTCCTCCTCCTCCTCCGCCTCCTCCTCCTCTTCTTCCCCCTCATTCTTCTCTTCCTCCTCTTTGCCAGTCCTCCTCGTCCCCCCCGACTTCCTTTTCAATTCCCCCCATCCGCCGTCGCTGCATCGACTTTCATCGCCTTCTCCTCGTCCTGTTTCTTCTTCTCCTTACCCTCTTCCACATCGTTCCCTCCCCCGTTTCCACTTCCCTTCCATATTCCACAACCGATTCCTGGACATTGTCAGGGGCGCGCCAGACAGGGATTGCGATGGGAATGCTACTGTTTGCGCTGGCGTGGGGGACCGTGGGAGAGGATTCACACAGCGATCCGCACCGCCTTTGGCCTGCCCAGAGGTGCTTTCCAGGGGGGGGGATCGCCTTCAAAAGCAACCGCGGCGGCTTCAGCGCTGTAGGGCCGACGCCGCCCCCCACTCCCGCGCCAGCTCTGCCTCAAAAATGGGATCGAGCGAGGGCCTCCGCTCTCGGCGCGCGCCAGCCCGCGCCGGCCGCCCGCTCCCATAGCCTCCAACACAGGGCGGGGGCAAGAGGCGCATCACCATCGCCGCCTGGGATGATGCAGAGGAGGAGGAGGACGAGGAGGAGGAGGAGGAGGACGAGGACGATGAGGACGAGGAGGACGAGGAGGACGATGAGGAGGAGGAAGAGGAGAAGGGGAGGAGGAGGAGGAGGAGGAGGAGGAGGAGGAGGAGGAGGAGGAGGACGACCAGGAGGAGGAGGAGGAGGAGGAGGAAAACAAGTAGGAGGAGGAACAGTAGGAGGCGGGGGAGAAGGAGGAGGAGGAGGAGAAGGAGGTGGAGGAGGAGGAGGAGCCGAGGGGAGGGGGAGGAGGAGTGGAGGAGGTGAGCAGGAGGCGAGAAACAAGTCTGAGGAAGAGAGCGAAGAATAGGAAAAGGGGGAGGAGGAGGAGGATAAGGATGAGGTTGAGGAGGGGGAGACGAGAAGGATGATGATGATGATGATGATGATGATGATGATGATGATGATGATGATGATGATGATGATGATGATGATGATGACGATGATGATGATGATGATGCTGATGATGATGCTGATGCTGATGTGATGCTGATGATGCTGATGATGATGATGATGATGATGATGATGCTGCTGATGATGATGATGATGCTGATGCTGATGCTGATGCTGCTGATGCTGATGCTGATGATGCTGAGATGATGATGATGATGATGATGATGATGATGATGATGATGCTGATGATGATGATGATGATGATGATGATGATGATGATGATGATGATGATGATGATGATGATGATGATGATGATGATGATGATGATGATGATGATGATGATGATGATGATGATGATGATGATGATGATGATGATGATGATGATGATGATGATGATGGTGGTGGTGGTGGTGGTGGTGGTGGCGATGGTGGTGATGATGGTGATGATGAGGATAATGATGATGAGGGGGAGGAGGATGAGGAGGACCAGGAGGAGGACCAGGAGGAGGAGGAGGAGGAGGAGGAGGAGGAGGAGGAGGAGGAGGCGAGGGGAGGAGGATGAGGAGGAAGAGGAGGAGAAGGACCAGGAGGAGGAGGAGGAGGAGGAGGAGGAGGAGGAGGAGGACCAGGAGGAGGAGGAGGAGGAGGTTACGAGGTTAGGATTGAGCAAGCCGCATGTCGCTGACTAGCACCTCGGCCGAGAGAGGCCAGGCCTGCCCGAGGGGAGCGCCATCACACAGCTTAAAGAGATGGCAGGGCAGGCGCTCGAAAAGGCGGCCACTGCAGGTGCAGAGGCCCAGTAGCTGGCATCGGCGGGCCGCTCAGAACAGCGGGCCTGCCGAACGCCCAGCCACCCCTCCTCAGTTTGAGCCCGACGTGGACCCCTCGGTCTGCGCCACCTCGACGCGAGAAGCATCCTCTGCACGCAGCCGCGCGCGGACAAGCTGGAGCACAGGCGTGCTCCGCTGCGCCGAGGAGGAGGAGGCGGAGGAGGAAGTACGCTGAGGTCCCTGCCCCACAGAGTCCCCGCAGGGAGGGCGCAGGGGGGCCAGAGGCGCACAGGATGCACCAGATCGCGCAGCTCGCGGCCTACGGGTATCGCATCGACGATCCCGACCGACCGACGACTCTCCAACGACAGCCCCGCCCTCCGTTATCTCAGGCACGGCGCTCGGCATGCGAGAGGGGGAGGAAGGAGCAGGTAGGGGTCCCAGGGCATCAGAGACCCCGAAGGGTGTGCCCTGAGGAGGAACAGGAGGAGGAGAAGGAGGAGGAAGGGGAGGAGGAGGAAGGGGAGATGGAGGGGGATGAGGAGGAGGAGGAGGAGGAGGAGGAGGAGGAAGAGGAAGAGGAGGAGGAGGAGGAGGACGAGGAGGAGGAGGAGGAAGACGAGCACCATGCCTCTCAGGCACAGCATCGGGCCGTGAAGTCCCACGACGACGGCCAGACGACCCTCCAACGACCCGACCCACACTATCGGATGCGGCCTCGCACCCTACGCGCACAGGGCGGGGCTCCTCTAACTGAACGACATGCGGCGGCCGCACCTCAGCTGCTGAGCCTGACCCTTGCCAGAACGGGAAAGCACACTGGAGGAGGGCGCAGGCGTGGTCATCGGGCTGAGCTCCTCGTCCGTCCGTGGGTTAAGCCCACGCTTCGCCCTCCTTATCTGCATGCGATGATTGGCACGTGTGCTGGCCACGCGCGAAACTCCGTTACACACCTTCTTCAACAGACGGCATGGGCCACCTGGGAGTATGACATAGCTAGCACAGGCTTCGCAGATCACAATCTGACCAAACCTAGCCGGCTGGTGTTGCAACCCCCTGAAGACCGCAAGCTCGTCAGCTGGGCCGTCCTGGCTGAGAGAGGTGGGGACAGGAGGCTGCTCGGCCAAGTCAAGAGCAGGGGGTAAGCCAGGGACGGCCTGCCGGAGGGCTACCCCATCACGGGCTGCATGGGGCGTGTTCGCAAAGACGCTCCTCGCTCGCCACCGCTGGACCTCCGTCGGTCGGCAAAACCTTCCAGCCCCCGTGCGCAGCCCCCTGAGGGCGTTCTCAGTCCTAGCGACGGCATTGCATTGGACGCACCGCCACTCCTGCCGCTCCCGCAGAACATACAACTGATGCTTCACGACCGTGAGGTGGTCTCTCGGTGGAGGCGCGCGGGGGCGGATCCTCGCGGTCTACCCTAGCTGCGTCAGCAGCGATGGTCTGTGCCGCACGCGAGGGGAAACTCCAGGTCCGTTTCACCGCCTTCAAATGGGCGGACTCAGCATCCACGGCCACTTGGGCCACTTGATGCTCCATGCCCCCCAGGCGCGCGAAAAAATCAGCCCAGCAGTTTCCTAAGAAATCGTGCAGCACGGCTGACGGGGCAGTGAGAACCTCCTCAATCTCCTGGTGGGCCTTCACCCACGCGACCTCAGGAGGCCGCTCGCGAAGAGGAACAATCTCACGCCACAAGTCAGCATGCAGCCCTCGCGCTGAGGCCTGCTCTGGGCTCCATGCCGATTCTTCGGTTACAAAGTTCAGGTGATCCGTGCAAATGGTCCTGGGTTTGGGGGCTACCTTGCAGGCCACAACGCCAGCGTAGCGCTCGGCCCTGGGCACCGACTGGCGCCCTGGCAGCGCGCCAAACACAACCCTAACGGGCAGACCACAGTCCAGAAGCTCAACGACAGCCCATCCACACCGCCGCAGTTTTGGGCTCGCATTCGCGAGCCCAGAGCCGTCGGTGTAGACGCGCTCGCCCCAGGGAAGGTGCGTAGCCCCCCAACTAGAGACAGGGCACTGCGGGGCCACTGGGCTGATCTTGATGGGGTTAAAAGGGATCCCATAAGCGAGCTCAAGCGTGTCCCAGTCAGGGCTCCCAAGACCATTGCCCCCAAGGCCCCGCAAAAAAAGCCCTGTGCTCAAGGACCTTAGGCGGCGACGGGTCTAGGTCGAGCTCCTCGGGGGTCACTTGCAGGGCCTCGCAGTCATAGCGCTGATGCCCGAGATTCCCAGCGGCGCCAGAAGTACACAACTCGCAAACGTTACTAGACTGCAGGACCGCCCGATGCTTGCGCCCAGGGGTGGGGGAGCCAAGCAGGCAGCGGGCACAGCCCTCGTAATGATATTTCTTCTGGCTAAGAATCCCCAGTCGGCGAGCACGACGCCAAGGTTGCACTTGTCTACCTGCAGCCTCTGGTCTGTGACTCAAGATCCTTACCGTTTGTCATCTCCCCAGTGAGGCCCGTGGCGCCAGCTTGACATCATGCGGTGGCAATTTGAGCAAATCCTACAAGGCGCCTTCGTCGTCCACGAGAAGATGAGCTGCCTGCATAGACCATCCAATCATCTTCAAAGTGAGCACGACTGCCGAGAGCGGACCAGAGCATTGCATCCAGGAGCCTTCGTCCGTGATTGTAGCAGGTACAGCCATCCAGGGACGTTGCAGGCTAGCCAGAGAAATCAACCCATCCCATACAGTGGCACTCTATCGCAGGAGGAGTCCATTGGTTGTGTCATATACAGGGTCAAAGAACTCATCGCGCTGGGTGGCGAGCCACGCCGTGGCACTGGCGTGCGAGCGAGCGCCGACCAAGGCCCCCGCCATGGTACGCAGCCTCTGGAGGGTGTGGGGCGTCACCCCACTGACGCCAGCTTCATGGGCCGCAGCCGGCAGCAGCCCAGTCCTCCAGAGCGCTTCTTGCCAGGAGCTTCGCGCCGTCAGGCATGTAGTCGGCGCTGACGGGCGCCAAGGGCGAGAAGACGCTTCCTCTCCTGGATCCCGCGCATCTTGGAGCCCGTGAGCTCGTGTCTCAAGTTGCGCATGTGCAGATGACAATAATCCCAACTGACTTGGCAAAGCGCCCGATGCACTTCCTGGATCCATGTCTGCCCGTCAGCCACTCTTGTCCATCTGTGTGATCAGTCGCAATGGCACCACTCCATGGACGAACCAACGCGCTGCGCAGAAAAGAGGCTCGGCTTGCCTCGCATTCGGGCCGACCCACTGGAAGCTGGGTCATATATGAGGGCCCGCGGCACCACCCGCGAGAAAGCACGTTGCAGGCTTTCGAGAACACCCCGGAGAAGAAGGAGCATCATGGCGCAAGCATGCGCACAGCCTGCCAGTATACCTTGGGAAGGGGAATAACATGTAGACAAAGAGCCGTGAGCTCGTACCAACCTGGGCTGCTGGTATAATGACAGGAGCGGCCGCGCTAATCTTAGTGGGAAGTCTAGCCGCCGAGCATGTTGCAGCAAGACCTCCAACCGAATAGTTTCGAAACGTTTGTACATATCAATGAGCGCACTCACAGACTCTTGGTTTTGCAACCGCGCCACCTCTGCCATCAGGTTGTGCTGGAGCGCCGCGTCACTGGAGGTGGCGCCAGCCTTCGCACCCCAGAAGACTGTCGTGCCATGCCTCTGCTCCCGCGCCTTGGACAATGGGCGGCGCAGGCGATTCCAGATGCGCGCCGGCGCGTTGCAGGGCGATCAAGCGGTGGCCCCCCGAAGCCTTCGGGGGCCTGACCAAGACCGCGTGCAGCCGCGCAGCAGGCCAGAAGCAGAGGCTCTCGCACCTGAGGTAGAGCGCCGCGAGCACCTGGAGGCCGATGTCCGAGATGACCTTTAGCGCGCGCGGCTGGATGTTGACCTCGCCCAGATCTGTGGACGTCTTGAACGTGCGCAAGACCTGGCGCGCATCCGTCCCGTCGAACAGCGGCAAGTCATCCCAGTCGCCGATGTCGAGGGGCAGCCGCCGCGGCTCGTCGCCATGAAGGGACCAAATTTTGGCCCAGTGCTGGAGGCAGGCGTCGGCCATGTGGTGAGGCTGCCCGTCGTCGACGGTGTAGTTCAGGGTCTCTTGGAGGCCGCGGACCTCGGCGTGCCCGTGGGCCACGGCGGCCCCGTTGACGAAGGCCTTGGTCGCCCAACCAGTCCACTCTTGCCCCTGAACCTGTCTGATCACCCAGATGACCTTCTCGGCCTTGGCAATGGCCTGATCCGCGCGCAGCCCGAAATTGACCGAGTAGAACACTGCGTGCAGACCCTGATGGAGGTGGCGGTCCTCGGCGTCCAGCAGGGCATGCGCCCGGCGCGCCTTCTGGACCCAGGCAAAGAAGCCCTGCAAGTCCCAAGCCAACTTGGCCATGAGAGCGGCTTCCTTGTCCTCCTCCACAGCAAGATGTCCCAATTGGCCCCAAACGTTGGGAAGGGGCCTGGCAGGGAAGATATCCCGTTGGCCCTGCGTGGGGCGCTGAAGGCACAGGAGCATGCGCTGGTTAGTAGAACGGAGATGCCTAAACCAACGCCCAAAAATCTGGTTGGCCTGCGGCCTACGTGGCGCAGGCGGCTGCGCGGGCTTGACCTCCTTCCATTCCCAGCTGAGAGGCCCCGTAGAACTGATGTACTTGGCCCGCACCTTGTGGCTGACAATGTCCCGGGGGTCAAGGAGCTCACCCTCGAGGCCTTGGATCGTAGCATCCCAGGCCACTGCAAGGTCCTCGGGCGCGCGGGCGGCTGCAATGAGGTCACGCGCACGCTGCCAAACCTTCCACCGGGGAAACCGCTCGCAGCCAGGCTTCGGGATAGGTGGGAGGCGTTGAGGTTGTTGAAGCACACGTACCCATCGACGATGGTCGGAGTAGCGAAGCGAGAGCTGAACAGGCAAGTGGGGAAAAGTGTTCGCGCCCTGCCAGACATATATGCCCTACTGCTATGCTGCCAGAGAAGCCGCAATCCCAAAGTAGTCACGAACCGTGCCAGGAGCTACATAACATGTTGGTGCATCAGTGTGGACCCCCACCCCATGCAGAGAATTGAGCCAAGGCAAGACCATATCTGGATCCATGTTCCAATCACCCCCAGTGAGCCACGGCATCTGCTGCGCGTTGAGGCCAGTGATGTAGCCCGCCAGCCGGCGTAACCCAGTAAGGTTAACCTCGCTGAGGCCCTCCGAATCGATGAGGTAGAGCGAGATCACCACCAGACCACCAGAAGGCCCACAATGAACGCGCGAAGCAAGCGCCCTGCCCTGAACAACCTCGGGCCCCGAGAGGTCTGGTCCACGGCTGACGCGGATGTGAGACGGGGCGATGACAGCAAGTCCTCCGCGCGTGCCTCCCCGCCCAGTGCTGGGCGCCACCGCCCAGACGCCAGTGAAGCCCGAACGGGAGGCAGCGTGAACTACGTCGGGTAGCCGCTCAGCGTCAGCATGATGTTCCTGAAGCAGCACAACGGTGCCAGCGCGCTCGGGCATGCTCAGGGCGTCGCCGGCGGCGCCGTAAGACGACGCGTTGACCGTGGTCAGCGAGACGGGCGCGGCGCCGCAGCAGAGAATCCCATTCGCCACCAGAGGTAGAACCCGTGTACTTGACCAGGTGTGAAGACGACAGGGTGAGCAGACAGCGGCTCTGGCCTCCGTCGATTTGCGAGGCGTGACCCTGGGGGCGGGATCACCTTGAAGGTCGGCATTCGCCAGGCCACCAAGCGAGCCCGTCAACAGAGCTTGACTGCCACCACTGCCAATACTCGCATGCCAGCGCACCGCGAGACGAGAGAAGTGTACATGTAGAAGCCATTCGAACTGTGGTATCGGCATGCGAGACCGCGCCCATGTGACAGGTGCCTTCGAGTAGGTAGCAGCGGTTCTGGATCCTGTCGCCTGGCTGCGCGCGGCCCTCTCGGGGGGGGGGGGTCCGTCATTCAAGTCAGCGTAGGCAAGGCTGCCCAGCAGGAGGGCCAGCGTCAGAGTTTGCACCAGACTCGGAATAAACACCAGAAGAGACGGAATCCATGGCGAGCCCCCCATCCAGTGTCCAGCGGCATCCAGTGTAAGACCTCCCGACATCGACATCCATTTGGCTGCAGCTGGGCGAATCCCGAGGCAATGAAAAGGCCCCGCGTTAGATTCACGGCTGCGCGCGTCGCTATGGCCACACACGGGCCCCCGACGGCCCAGCCGTGCACGCGGCCGAAACCAGCCAAGTTTTGCGACCTTGCCGCGAATCGGGGCGGGACCTCCCCCGTGCCTAGGGGAACTCCGCAGAGCCTCCCAGGCCCCCCGCTCGAGACGCGCTCTGGCAGAATCCGAAGGTACTGCGGCAGCGCGAGCAGGTGCTGGCCAACAAGCTGGCACGCGTAGCCAGCAGCTTTGGCCACCTCACTCATTGGGCTTCCTGCGCTTGGGGGCCCTGTTCAGTGCCGCCTCGCCCACCCGCTTGACCGCGCCCCGCACCTGGGAGTCGTCGCCAGGGGGGGGCGCCTCCTGTAGCGGCCTGCAGGAAGGAGCTCCACTCGTCGATGTCGTCGGTGTCCATGGGGGCCGCGCGCGAGATACCTGCCACCGCTGGGCCTCCGGCTCCTGGATGTCGGCGTCAAGGCCCGCAAGCACCTTCTCCGTGTCGGCGATGGCGACGTCGAGCAGCTCGCGCTGCTGCTGGAAGCTTGCGAGCTCCTTCCGCTGGTGGGCGCGCTGCTTCTCGAGGGCCTCGATGCGGGCCGTGTAGTGGTGCGGCGGGCCCGCGAACGGCTGGCCGCGCACGGGCTTCTCCTTGATGGTGTCCCGCTCGGAGACGAGCGCATCCCTGGCCCCAGGACCTTGAGCGCGCTCTCGATCTCCATGAGGCGCTTCTGCTGGTCGGGGTCCTCGGCGTCGTCGCCCTCCGCGCCTGCAGCGGCCGAGGCAGCCCCGCCTCCTGCATGCAGCTGCTCGCGCAGGCGGGCGATCTCCAAGTCCTTCTCCTGGAGCTGCTCCTGGTGCTGCTTGGCGCGGGTCTGCTCCGCCCTGGGCGCCCGCACGCTGTGGCTGGTGGACACGGCGTTGGCACCTCCAAAACTGGCACCCTTGTCGACTGAGCAAAGAGCACACGATATGAGGTCGCCGCGATTCCACCACTTGTCGCCTGAACGGGGATGAAGGCACGACTTGCAGTACCACGGGCCCACCCAGGCCTGCCTCTGTTTCCCTCCCGACTTGGCTGGTGAGCGAGAAGAAGAGCCATGACCTGCCATGGACGAGGGTGATAGGACAAAGGGGTCAGTAGAGGAGAAGTACTTTGGCTGGTGTGTCGCCTGTGCACAGGCGAGCGCGCAATTGGGGGCCGCAAAGTCACCCCCGCCAGTCTGCCAAGTCCGAGCCACCGCTACGGACTTGAGCCAAACTGGCTTGAGCCAGCATGGCTACGGGAGGAGGGGGAGGAGGAGGAGGAGGAGGAGGAGGAGGAGGAGGAGGAGGAGGAGGAGGAAGAGGAGGAGGAGGAGGAGGAGGAGGAGGAGGAGAGGAGGAGGAGGAGGAGGAGGAGGAGGAGGAGGAGGAGGAGCAGGAGGTGCGACAATGGGAAAGAGGGCGAATCATAGGAGAAGGGGGGGGAGACGGATGAGGATGGGAGGAGGAGAGAGGGAGGGGGAGGAAAGAGGAGGAGGAGGAGGAGGAGGAGGAGGAGGAGGAGGAGGAGGAGGAGGAGGAGGAGGAGGATGAGGACAAGGAGGAGGGACGAGGAAAACGAGGATGAGGAGGAGGATGAGGAGGGAGGAGGAGGAGGAGGAGGGAGGAGGAGGAGGAGGAGGAGGAGGAGGATGAGGACGAGGAGGAGGGACGAGGAGGAGGGACGAGGGAGGAGAGGAGGAGGAGGAGGAGGAGGAGGAGGAGGAGAGGAGGAGGAGGAGGAGGAGGAGGAGGGAGGAGGAGGAGGAGGAGGAGGAGGAGGAGGAGGGAGAGGGGAGGAGGAGGAGGAGGAGGAGGAGGAGGAGGAGGAAGGAGGAGGAGGAGTGAGGAGGGTGAGGAGGAGCAGGATGAGGAGGAGGAGGAGGAGGAGGAGGAGGAGGAGGAGAACGAACGAACGAAGGAAGGAAAGAACGAACGAACGGAGGAATGGGAGAGGACGAAGAGGTGTACGAGGAGCAGGGGGGGGAGGAGAGCAGGAGGAGGATGGGGGCGGGCAGGTTCTAGGTTCTGGGTTCGTTTTTTGTTTTTGCTGTATTTTTCTGGCTCTGGGGGCCGTTTTCGGGTCCCGGTGCAGTGAGAAACGGATGCGGGGTGAAAAACTGCACCAGGTAGACCCCCGGGACAGATTTTGAGCGGATTTGGCCTCATCTCCTCCGCACCGCACCCCTTCCACATCGCGGGGGCAAGAAGCGCATCACCACCACCGCCTCGGAGGTTTCGGTTCCCAGCTTTTCCCCTCCTCTTGCCCTTGCCCTTTCTTAGTCCTTCCCTTTGTCACTGATGCGTTTTATGGTTCAGTTCGTGTCGCGCTCTAGGCTCCTGCGGTGTGCAGAGTGACGACTGGTCCTCCTCCCTCTCCAACATACGGTCGGAACTTTTTGGTCAGCGTGCCGCTCCGCTGATTCTGGCCCACCGCGCTTCGGCGCGACACGCTATCCACTTTCCCACTCACAGGCGTCGACGTCACGAGCTGTTCCCAGCCTCTCGCTCCGCGGAGCGTAGCCATACGCGATCCGCTCGCAGGGTATAGCGCGTCACCGAGGCCGCCGCCGCCGCGACACCCTAAGCAACAGCTCCTGACCGTAGGCCTCCCAAGTGGGGTTCGAGAAGACGGCGTCGGAGGCTTGCGCCGCATCGCCGATGCATCGGCGATGCGGCTCGATGTGGAGCCCGGGCGATGCATTAGCGATGCGGTGCGATCCTCTGACCATTTCTGCTCGAACCCCATCTTGGAGGCCTCCTGACCTGGGAGAGCGCAGGATGGGCTGACCCTCGGACCCAGGCGATGTAAGCATCGCGGAGGTATGTTTTTCTGACTTCTTCGGCCTCTGGTGGCCGTTTTCTGGCCTGGGGGCCGTCAAGAACCGACTCAGGGTGAAAAGCTGACCCTGGGGAACGGGTCTGGATCCCTGGGGGCCAGGGTGAGCGAAATTTCGACGTCGGGGGAGAGGGGAGCTGATCTGCAGGATGCCCCGCGAGAGCGCCCGAATGGGTACAGCACACCACCACCACCATCACAATCCTCGCCACCACCACCACCACCACTTGAAATCACTCAGGGTCAATTTCGATCTCTTTGTTCCGATGCGGTATCGGCTCTGGCTGGCTCGATCCGATTCGACCCCGGCATTCCGACGATACGATGCGGCCCGATGCTCGCATGGTGTTGTTGTGTATCTTGGCGCAGCTGGTCCGATTCGATTTCGACGCCGTGCCGATGCAGCTCGATCCGACGCACAATCTCATTCGTCCGATTTTCCAATTTAGTGCTGACTGATCCTTCCCACCACGGCGTCCACCCCTCAGGCGGCCACAACTCTTGGCTCGCCGCCTCGCACTCCTAACCTCTGGGCGGTGGTGGCGGCGAGTTCCCTCTCCCCCCCTGGCTGGGGGAGCACCCCGCGGCGACCATGGCGCACGCGCGCGGGCGCAAGCGCCCGCGGGTGGAGGCGGACGGCGGCTTCAGCGACCTCCTGGGGCGCTTTGAGGCCTCGGTGCAGAGCGCCCCCGCGGGCGCGGGTGCGCTGCTCGAGGCCTGGAGGCAGCTGCAGCAGCTGCAGGCCGCCCTTCGGAGCGGCGCCCCGCCGCGCCCTCGATCGAACGGCGGCGGCGGCAGCGGCGCTGGCGCCGACGGCAGTGGCGGCGGCGCCGCCGCCGACGGTGACGCCGACGGCGACGGCCTCGTCGCCACGGCTGGATGCGCGTCGAAATCTTGGCCAGAGCGCACCCTGGGAGATGTCCGGGGAGTATCGTCTTGTTTTCTGTTGCCCCACGAGTGGCGCCTGCGGAGCGGCTGCTCGCCGCGCCCTTGATCGAACGGCGGCGGCGAGGGCGCTAGCGCTGGCGCAGGCGGCAGCGACGGTGGCGGCGGCAGCTCCAGGCGGGGGTAGAGCGGCGCCGCGTCAGGCGACGGTGCCGACAACCGCGGCGGCGGCAGCTCCAGGCGTCGGTGGAGCGGCGCCGCGTCCGGCGACGGGGCCGACGGCGGCGCTGACGGCGGCGGCGGCGGCAGCTCCAGGCGTCGGTGGAGCGGCGCCTCGTCACGTGCTCGATCGACAGCCTGACCCCTCACGACGCCGTGGAGTTCAGCCCCGGGGGGCGCCGGCTGTCCACGTCCGCACGCAGCGAAGACGCTAAAGTGAGCTACGTCATCCCCGGGGCGCGAAGATAATCGCGCTTCGCGCATTGTAGCTCGGGTTGGGGAGGCGCCCTTCTCCAGGGCGGCGGTGCAAGGGCGCGAAGGTAATCGAGCGCTGCGCATGGCGGGGCGCGATGTGCGAAGTTCGGCGACCCGGGTGGGTACCACTCTGGGCTCATCAAGGGGACTGGCTTTCGGGCCGTTCCTCGGGTCCAGGTTGGGGAAACTGTTCGTGGCCGAGGCTCGCCGAGGCCGGAAGAGCCCCTCCGTTCCCTGTCCAGCGCTCCTCACTGCCGCGCGATGGCTGCACACCGATGTCGCCCGGGCCGACCCTGGGCCTGGGATCGGCGGCTGCGCCTTCCTGGCGCGGCCAGCGAGGCACGTGCACCGGCCCTGGGCCCGGGATCGGCCCTGCGGGGAGCAGCGTGGGTGGACAGCTGGCGCCCCCCGAGCATCTACCGCCGGCGGGTGAGGCTCGTGCGGGTCGCGCGGAACGACTTCGAGGACGGCGGGTCCAGCGAGGACGAGGAGGAACGCAGCGAGGCGGGATGAGGCACAAATCAGGAGTTCCAGGAAGGTCAGTCCTAGAGCTTTTCCTCTCCAACCTGACCCAGACTTCAGCGCCGTGGTTCGATCACTGGCGTCTTTCTCTCTCACTGAAGCGGGTCCGAGAGAACAGGTAGCCCCTCCTCAGGAGGACACAGACAAGCGTCCAGTGTGTGTGTGTGTGTGTGTGTGTGTGTGTGTGTGTGCATGCATGCATGTATACATGCATGCATGTATGCATGTATGTATGTATGTGTGTATGTGTGTATGCATGCATGCATGCATGCATGTATGTATGTATGTATGTATGTATGTATGTATGTATGTATGTATGTATGTATGTATGTATGTATGCATGTGTGTATGCATGTATGTATGTATGTATGTACGTATGTGTGTATGTATGTATGCATGCATGCATGCATGCATGCATGTATGTATGTATGTATGTATGTATGCAATTATGTACGTATGTATGCATGCATGCATGTCTGTCTGTCTGTCTGCCTGCCTGCTTGTCTGTCTGTCTGCATGCATGCATGCATGGATGTATGTATGTATGCATGCACGCATGGGGGAATGTATGCATGTATGCATGCATGCATGCATGTATGTATGTACGTATGTATGCATGCATGCATGCATGTAGGTCTATGTCTGTATGTATGCACATGTGCATGTATACATATGTATGTTTATGTGTACGCATACCTGTCTGTCTGTTTGTGTATGCATGCATGCATGCATGCATGCATGCATGTATGTATGTTTCTACGTATGTATGTACGTATGTATGTATGCATGCATGTATGTATGTATGTATGTATGTAGGTAGGTAGGTAGGTAGGTAGGTAGGCAGGCAGGCAGGTAGGTAGGTAGGTAGGTAGGTAAGTAGGTCTGTAACACATTATTGTGCCTATCCATATGTATATACATAGCTATACACATGTATGCGTGCATGTAACAAGGGGGCCAGGCTGCTGGAGGCCCAGGCCCCGAAGATGGCTTGCAGGGGTTGCAGGCGGTCCTCGAGAAGCTCCAGACGCTTCAAGAGAGAATGGTGACATCCACAGAGGGCCTGAGGAGACTCACCAGGACCCGACAGGCCAACAGCCCTTGACAACTGATGGGGGGTCGATGATGTTGGCCTTCCCGCCTTTTCGCCTCCGCTTGGCTGCTGAGGCTTGCAGCTTGACCCCAGGAGGCCTCAGGACGCTCCCCCGAAGGTGTCCAAGAGGCCCCGAGGAGCCCCAAGACGCCCCCAACGGGGGCCCAGAATCGCTTCCGAGAGGGGTCCCACAGCCGTCCAGGCGGGCCTGGACGGCCTCGAGTCACCCCGAAGACGGCCTCCAGGTGTCTCAGACGGCCCTCGAGAGGATCCAGACGTTTCCAGAGACCTTCAAGACAGCGCCAGAGGGCCTGAGGAGATTCTCCAGGACACCTCCGACAAGCCAAAACCATGTCGAAAACGAATGGGAGCCGTACGATGTTTGTCTATCGCTTTTTCGCCTCCGATGGGCTGCCGAGGCCTCAAGATCGCACCCAGGAGGCCCCAAGATGCACCAACAGACACGCCCAGGAGGCCCAAGAAGATCAAGGACGGCCCCAAGACAGCCTCAAGATGGCCTCCAAGGGTCTCAGACGGCTCATGAGAGTTCCAGACGCTTCAAGAGACGCGCAGAACAGCCCCAGAGGGCCTCAGGAGGCTGTCCAGGGCCTTTCCGACAAGCCAGAAATCTTCGAACATCTATGGGAGATCGATGAATTTGCCGTCTTGCCTTTTCGCCTTCGATCAGCTGCTGAGGCCTCAAGATCGCTCCCAGGAGGCCCCAAGACGCCCCGCAGAAAGCACCCACAAGGCCCCAATAAGTCCCGAGACGCCCCCAACGGGGATCCAGAATTGCTTCGGAGAGGGGTCACACATCCGTCCAGGCGGCCCAGGACGGCCCCGAGACATCCCCATGACTGCCTCCAGATCCAGGGGTCTCAGAGCCTCAAGAGACGCTCAAGGCAGCCCCAGAGGGCCTCCGGAGGCACTTTAGGTCACCTCCGACAAGCCATAAACCTTCACAAACTCCTCCTCCGAGGAGGAGGAGGAGGAAGAGGAAGGAGCGACGACAGGATGAGCCCCGCAAAATGCTCCCGAATAGCTTTCGAGTGGCCTCCCGAAAGTGCTCTGGCCCTGGAGTTCCATGAAGCCCACTCAGGGCTCCATGTATCGCCCCACGTTTCCCAAGATGCCCACGTTTTCCAAGATGCCCTCGAAGCGTGCCTCCTCCCCATGCCTTTTTGAAGCCCTCGCTGGAGTCGCATTCAGATCGTCTTGGTTCTCCAGGGGCCCACTTCGCGGAGTCTTGGAGCCTCTCGGACTTCCCCAGGTCGTCTCCGAGCGCTCTCAGAGGCCCACGTTAGACACAGAGCAGAGCTGCAGGACGGTTCCAAGAAGACCCAAAACGGAAGCACACTCGTGGGCCTACCTTGTCCCTGGAGCCACTGCCCTCTTCGAGCCCTGCTAGGGCCCGATTCGGACCGCCTTGGATACTCTCGAGGTTCTCCTGCCCGCCCTCCTGCAGCGCTCAGAGGCACACTGGGCCCTCTATTTCGGGCCGTGGAGATCCCTGTGGGCCACGATCCGTGTGCCTCGGGCGCTGTCATGGAGATATTTCGGTCGCTGTAGGACCGTCTTGGGGCCCTCTTGGTGCGGTCTTCTGGACCTATTGGGGGCTATTTTCTGGTGCTTTGGGAGTCTTGGACCATCGGAGTCCTCCTTGGCCGCCTCGAGGCAGTTTGTCCCTCTTCGGCTGCTGGCGATCCGGCAAGGCGAGAAAACGGAAACCATAACAGTTAAAACTATCAGTGGTTTGGCAGTGGATTGGGTTTCTTCAGGCTGTCCTGGAACGCATCAGGCCCCCTCCAGGCTATTTTCACCGTCTTGGAGGCATGTGGGGCGACCTTTGAGGCTTCTTGGGGCCTTCGTGCCATCTTGGAGGCCACCCGTGACCGTCTTGGGCCGTCTGGTTCCGTTTTTAGGGTCATCTTGGGCCATGCTGGCTGGGTTGGCGGCGAGTTGTATTGATGTTGGGGGCTGTGTGCGGTGACGGCAGACTGGTTGAGAGCCACATCTGATGTTCTTGAAGGGTCAGCCGCGTGATAAAACTTGGCAGGCCGCGCGCCCCTCTTGCAAACAACATGGGGGTAACGGCTCGAAGACGCCTACGGCGAGTCACCGTGCTCCTTTGCATTTGTGGGAATCGCCAGTGTGTCTAATATTTGGGGAGAGTTTGGGCAAGTGTTTGGATTGCGGGCTCCCCCAGCCGTTGTAAAAGCGAGTTGGGGAACATGGGATGACCTCTGGGGAACCTTGTCGGAGTGTCTTGGGACCTCTTGGGAGCTTCTCGCGGACCTCTTGAGGCCCTATGGGGGCGCCTGCTGTACCTCCTGGGCCGTTGTGGGACTATCTTAGGGCGTCTATGGGGGCTCGCTTGGGTCGTCCTGAAGTCATCTCGGGGCCTTGAATGCCAGAGCACGCCCTCATGGGAGGTGAGGGTGGCCCATGGATCGTTCGAAAAGAAGATCCAACGCAACAGGAAATTTCAAGACGGACCACGAGTTGGGATGGACGGCTAACGATGCCCCCCAGATGTTTCAAGATGGCCCCAAGACGTTCCAGGATGACCTGTAGACGGCCCAACAAGCCCCCACGACTTCCATAGGGAGTCTCAAACGGAACGCCTCATTTTGTATATGCCCTCTGGTGCCAAACACTTTAGACTACAACCAGAGCTTGCTAGAATCTGAGCGCGCGAAGCGCGCGTGGTTCTTGGGTCTCTCTTTCTTTCTCTCTGTGTGTCTGGCTGTCCGTCTGTCTGCCTGTCTGTCTGTCCGTCCGTCCGTCCGCATGCATGCATGCATGTATGTATGTATGTATGTATGTATGCATGTATGTGTGTATATATGTATGTACGTGTGTATGTATGTATGTATGTATGTATGTATGTATGTATGTATGTATGTATGTATGTATGTATGTATGTATGTATGTATGTGTGTGTGTATGTATGTATGTATGTATGTATGTATGTATGCATGCATGCATGCATGTATGTATGTATGTATGTATGTATGTATGTATGTTTGTATGCATGTATGCATTTCTGTATGTATGCATGCATGCATGTATGTATGTATGTATGTATGTATGTATGTATGTATGTATGTATGTATGTATGTATGTATGCATTTATGTATGTATGTATTTATGTATGTATGTATGTATGTATGTATGTATGTATGTATGTATGCATGCATGCATGCATGCATGCATGCATGCATGCATGCATGCATGTATGTATGTATGTATGTATGTACGTTCGTACGTTCGTACGTACGTATGTGTGTATGTATGTATGCATGCATGCATGTATGTATGTATGTATGTATGAATGTATGTTTTCTTGCTCTCTGGATGTAACCCCAAAGAGTAGAAACCATACTATGCCCTTCTTGGGACGAACATCTGATCGCTGAATCCGGGACAGGCTGATTTTGGATCGTGACTCGTCGGGGCAAGGGGCTCCTGCCCACGCGAACCCATCTGAGGTCGCACCCGTTCCTGCCTGTCTCGGGGCGAGCAGGCGCCGTGGCGCTTATCCTCTGCCGTCTTTTCCGCTGGCGGCCAGGGGGCGGGGGGCGGCGGTCAGCTGCACTCGGGGGTGACCCTTCGCCGCAGCGGCCTCTGCGGGGAGGCGCCGCGAGGGCCGGACCGCGGAGCGCAGGCCGCTGCTGTCGCAATGCCCTCGACGATCGGCGCGCCGCACGAGGGGGGCGGGCTGGCGGCTTGCAAAGCCGCGCTCGCGCACGTGGGCGGGCCGCTCGGCCGGCACCCGCCGTCCTGGGCCCGGGGCGGGCGCCCGCAGAACCTAGGGG